ATCTGGACAGAAAGTATTACCTCTGGTTCTATGGACCTGTGTGTGTGTGTGTGTTAAGTGCTGTCAAGTCACTTCCGACTTATGGGATATGAATTGAGCAGTTCCAGACTGTTGGCCATTGTTTTGTTTTCCATATTTGTTGGGCCTAGTTCTGGCCATACCCCTCCATTTGTGCTGCCAGCAATCCAGGATGGAAAGTCAGCCAGTGCTGAGGGTGTGGTTCCCTTCCGGGCCATCCTAGCAGCCACGACTCCCTCTTTGTAGCAGGGGGGCAGAGTAGGGTAGCCAACTTCCATGTGGGGCCTAGTGATCTTCTGGAATTACAACATATCACCAGGTGACAAAGATCAGTTCCCCCGGGAGAAAATGGCTTCTTTGGAAGCATGGTGTCACACGCCTCTGGAAGCCCCCTCCCTCACCAAACCCACCTCCTGAGGCTTCACTCCTAAATTTCCATTTCCTAACCCAAAGTTGGCAACTCTGGGACAGAACTTTGGACTTTTCTTTAGTAGCTGACAGCCATTTTGATCCCCAGGGTTCACCTCCAGTTAGGGATGCTAACTCTGGGATCAGGAATACCTGGAGAGCCTGGAACGATGGGGTTTAGAGAGGGGAAGGGTAGAGTATAATGCCACGCAGTCCGCTTTCCAAAGAAGCCATTTTTTCCAGGAGGAAAAAATGTTTTAAACAAATAAATAAATAATAAACAAGTGATTTATACGGTCTGGCTATCAGCTGACATTTCAAGGGATCTCCAGCCCTCACCTGGAAGTTGGCAATCCTGCCTCCAGCCTAAACGGTTGTGTGAATACAGCCCTCAGCCTTTTTTTTTTTAATACGAGCAGCAAGTACCCAGGATGCCTCGTAAGATGAAATCTATTCAATCACATAGGCAAACTCTAATTTAGATGGAAGGGGAAATTAAGCAGACGGCAGTCTCCTGTGAGAAGACTGGAAATGAAAGTTTACTTGATGGAAGGAAGCGCAAGCAAGTTGCAGCACAGTAGAAAACGGGAGGGAGGCGTCCTCTCATCACACTTCAGAAAGCAGAGCCTTCAGATGAACTTCATCAGGGGACCAGGTAATTGGATCTGGAGAATCCTACATGAAAGTTGTCAGTTTAAATCAAGTGCAGCTCGGTTATGAGAAGGGGCCACTAAAAGCTGCAGATGGTTTCTTGGCCTTTTTGTGAACTGTTTGAGGTGGTCGAACTCCTGTCCCTCGCCAGGGAGAGGTGCCTATGCAGCCTGTACTGGTTTCTCAAGCTTATATTCCAAAGGTAGTTTTATACATAACTTATGGATAATCTTTATGGAATTACTCCGGGCACTTACACATTAAATATGTAGTGTATTCAAAGCTGCCTTGAATGCATGACATGTTGTGAAACATCTAACTGAAGTGTAATGTAAAGCTTCGTCCTGGGCTAGGATCCAAACCCATCCAATAGTATTGCTAGCCCAGGAAGTAACAAGCCAATCACTTCAAGCAAGCTTCCTGAGCGGGAACGAATGTGATTGGACCTTATCTCTGCAGCCTCATAGGTTGATATTTGTACAGTGGGTGTGGCTACATTAGCCGGGAATGTTTAAAAGCAGGACAGCTGCAATGTAAAGGCTGTTCTGGCTATCAGATGTTGATCCATGTTGGAGTTGTGTTCGAGTGGAAGAATAAAGTTGTGTTCTTGCTGAATCACTCTCCGACTGCTTTGTTAAGCGAGCGACTTAACAAAATAACCCAATTTTTCCTGTTTGTGGCCAAAGTCAGTTGTGCACAGCACTGATTGTTGGCCTCCCACTTTGATTACAACGCCATCTTCTTTTCTCCAAAACAGTTTCTCAACCTTTTCAAAATTAGCCATTTTTAAAATAAGACAAGGAGTGTTCAGTGGAATGAGTGTCCATGCAGAACTTTAAATAATAAAAATGGACAGCCTTTTACTCTAAAACGGGAGAAAGAGCAAGGCAGAAGATTAAATTGGCAGATTTGATGATTCATATACCATTGCAGATCTGAATAAGAAATTTGGATCTCATCTATGTACTGGGATTCCTGGTGTTCAGTACATTTGTATACACTCCCTATTGCTTTGGATAGGATATTAATTTTATTCATTTACTTTATTTATATTTCACCTTTTCCGCAATGGGAACCCAAAGTAGCTTACATCGTTCTCCTCTCCTCTCCTCCATTTGATCCATACAATAACCCTTCAAAAGTAGGTTAGGCTTTTTCTATACTTTTTCCTATAGATTGTAGATTCTCCCTCCCAAATTTCTGTTGTAGTTTTATAGAAATGCAAATAACCCCCCCCCCCTTGGTGTTTTTTTTTTTTTTTTTTAAAGTAGGTTAGGCTGAGTGTGTGACTGATCCCCGGTCACTCACCAAGCATGCATGGGCAGACTGAGGATTCGAACCTGGATCTCCCAGATTCTAGTCTGACGGTAACCACTACACAACACTGTTAGCCGTGAAAGGTCCCCAACCTTTTTGGGCCTGTGAGCACCTTGGGAGTTCTGACACATGGGGATGGGTGCAACCAGAAAATGGCCACTATGGAAGGCAGAGCCAACTGCAAAATGGCCACCGCAGGGGGTGGAGATGTGCACACACACATACACACACAGAGAGAAGCCCAAATGAATGGAAGAAGAAGAGTAATTTTTTTTAAAATGCACCAGAAGAGAGAGGAAATAAAACGAACACTATAGTGACAGCTTGTGCTGAAACAATGTTATTTCAATCGGCACAGCCAATCAGATCCCCAATACTAATTAGAAGCCATGCTGGGCACGAGTCCCTCCTGACCACACCCACTTTCTAAAAAAAACTTGGCAAACGGCATAAAAAGTGTTGGTGGGCACCAACGCTCCCTCTAGGCTGTGGAGTCTTGTGAGCAAAAATTCTACTTTGCGAGCTATTGGCATTAAAGTTGTTTGCTCTGCAGCCATCCCTCCTGAGCGGAGACAAGAATGTGTGAGCCAGAGGCTAAAAAACTGTGAGCTAGCTCACACTAACTCAGCTTAGAGGGAACACTGGGCACCGTGGCGCCTGCGGGAACCACGGTGGGGATCCACTCTGCTTTCTTATAGAAAAGGCTCCAAGTCATACATCTGAAGAGGACAAACAGAAAATGTGTTTGTGACTTATAGGCTCAAAATGTCTGCAGCATATAGGCTTGGCATCAGTAGTGTGTTCAGTAATAATACCTTTGCACTTCCAAGGCTGCAATGCGCATATCCAGTCATGGCTAAATCCACCCACCATATCAGGCCACATTTTTTTTTCCCTGCTGGGAATTGGGCTGACCCCACCAGGCGTATCAAACTGGGACGGACAGATTTTCTAAATCAAAAAGGAAATAAAGGGACATGTTTCTTTAGTATATCTCTCTCGATCCTCCTTCCCACACTGTGCATCCAAACCCTACCTTGAATCCATCTCTCATTGGTGTCAGCCAGGATAGTAGGAATGGCCGTCAACACATCTTTCAACCTAAGGAATGACATTTCTCATTTTGTTTTTTTGTTTTTGAGCCATAACACAACAGAAATTTGTCTACTGTTCCACCTCCAAATTAAGCAGTCATCTTACACCCATGCTAAAGCGAACATATATAAATGCCAAGTAGTACTGAAAATACTATAACTGTATGCTATAAGCAACACTGCTTGCAGGCAACACTGAACACTGTCTTATAAGACCAATCTTTGCCCTTGAACCATATCCATTAATCACCATGTCCTTCCAACTGTGACCATGGTACTTTGTAAAAGAAAGAATTAGTTGTGAAGAAATATAATAGTACTTCTGAGCATATACTGAGCGGCTTGTTTTGCCCCACTTTGCACCTTTTTCCCCACCAATGCAGTTAGAATAAAACAGCAAGGATCCTTTCCAGGGCAGATAGTAAGGCTTCTATGCAGGAGTCTGGTCACTTGTTCAATTAACAGTGCCCCCATTTCCGTTGACAGTTTTATATGGAAGAAACCATTAAAAGGATATAGTTTATTGAGGCCCTTCTATAGCCTCATTAAGTGTTATGCTAGAACCTTATGAATGAAATGTACTCTCACTTTCGGTATGAGAATCACTCAAAGTTCATATATTTCAGTGGCTTTCCTGGTTTTTCAGCATTTGAGGTGATAACATTGATTATTTCAGTTTGCCATATTCCAGGTCAATTATATTAAATATTCTACACACAACTATCCCTCATGCAAAACTGCATTTTATTATCTAGCAATCACATATTGATCCATGTCGAATGACCTGCATACACTTTTTCCCACTGTCTTTGAGCTCTCAGTTTTACCAAAGCCCTGGCAGAAGAGAAGATATTAATCCTAGATCTTGAAAAATTCGTAACAAAGATCACACCAACAGGCTATACTTTCCAATGCAGATCCATTGGTAACTAAGGCACGAGGCTCAGTCCTAATTCCGGACAACACAAGCCAAGTGTCTTTATATTGGGGTTGCCAATCCCCCCCTAAGACCAGGCTCTACACACCAAATCAAGGATTTCCCACCCAATGAGTTCTTGCAGGGCTCTTTTTGTAGCAGGAACTCCTTTGCATATTAGGCGACACACCCCTCATGTAGCCAATTCATTCCCTCATGTAGCCAATCCTCCGAGAGCTTACAGTAGCCCCTGTAAGAAGAGCTCTGTAAACTCTTGGAGGATTGGCTACATGAGGGGGCGTGTCGCCTAATATGCAAAGGAGATCCCTGCTACGAAAAGAGCCCTTATTAGCATCACGATCGAGGGGCAGGCCAACAGCTCCGCCTGATAACCAAGGAGCTCTGGCCGCCTGGCATCCGCTGCAGCCTCACGACGACCTCTACCGCCCACCCCACACCAGCGATGGCCGCCCCCCCTCCGAGCAACGGCGGCCGTCAGGATGGGTCACGTGATGTCACGTCCCCCTCTCCCCCCCCGCGCGCGGCCGAGCCTAGGAACGTGACGTGTCGCATTCCCAGAATGCCACGCGGGAGGCTGGGGAGCCGCTGTCCGGCCACTGATGCTGCCGCGGCTGATTAGGCGAGGTAATCCCGATCCCCCCCTCCCCCTTTCCCGAGCACCTAGCGGTTGCCTAGCAACCGGGGCCTGCTACCCACAGAGGGGTGCGGCCCTCCTTCGAGGCCTGGGCGCTGGCGGCGCGTCGCGGGGGGAAGAGGGAGGCGGTGTCTGGGCGCCGTCGTGCCCGTGGCCCACGGGGTGCGTCCGCCTCTCACGTTGCGAGGGGGGGCGGGGGGGAGGTCGCGCTCCACCCGTTCGGGTCTTTGGCCTCGAGAGACGGGGAAGAACGAGGAGACCTTTTCTCCCAGCGGCTGCATTGGTTCCTGGGAAGTCCGTGTGCGCCTTTAAGGACTCTGTCATCGGGAGAAGAGGGCGCTGCCCCCACTCTTGTGGACCGGGGGGGGGGCGTGGGAAAGATTCTCTCCCTGTGGGATCTTTGCCTGCTGTGTAGTCACTCAGCGTCCCGAGAAGCATGCAAGGGCAAAGCTGTCTGGGTGTGTGTGGTTTTTCTTCCCTGGCAGAGTTTTGGCAAATGATGATGATGATGATGATGTCTTGGAAAGGAGTTCTTCTGTATAAAGTGCTTTGGGTACAGATAAAGTCAACTATGGTTGGGAAGGGTGTGTGTGTGTGGGGGGGAGGAATGAACCCCCCCCCATACTCTCTGACCAGGGCAGGGGTCATTTCTTGCGGGAGCGCACGGGAGCGGAGCTCCGGCAGTAAAGAGCCCAGGGCGGGCACATGCAACAAGCCCCGCCCCCTGCTCCCAGCAGCCCTCAGTCAGAGCAAGAAGCAACCAGGTAAGTTGCAGAGCCCCCCCCCCAACAGTCCAGTGGCACCTTTAAGACCAAGTTTTATTCAGGTACAAGCTCTCCCTCCTCTGTGAGGACCGATCTGCATGTCTCCCCCCCCCAATAGCTAGCAATCCAAAACAGTCTAGTTGTTGCCTTCTGACACACTTCCGGTGATGTCAGGGGGTGTGGCATATGCAAATATGTTATGCTAATGAGTTATGCTAATGAGCCCTTGCACCTCTTTTTTCTACGAAATGACCCCTGGACCAGGGTGCATATGGGAAGAATAAAATCTTGGGGATGTAATTGGATTTTTAAAATATTATCTAATCTATCTAATCTATCTATCTATCTAATCTATCTATCTAATCTATCTAATCTATCTAATCTATCTATCTAATCTATCTAATCTATCTATCATCTATCTAATCTATCTATCATCTATCTATCTATCTGCATGGCTGTAGACATTCTGGCCCTCAGCACCTTCCCTCTCCCTGCTCCAGTTTGGTGTGGTGGTGAAGTGCGCGGACTCTAATCTGGGAGAAATGGGTTTGATTCCCCACTCCTCCACTCGCACCTGGCTGGATGACTTTGGGCTGGATGACTTTGGGCAAGCCATAGTTCTGATAAGAGCTGTCCTTGCAAAAGAACAGTTTGTGTCAGAGCTCTCTCAGCCCCACCTACCTCAGGGGCAATGTTCCTTCTAAGCTGTGGAGTCTTGTGAGCAAAAATTGTATGTGAGCTACTGACATTAAAGTTGTGGGCGAACGATTTGGCTGCTGCATGAATTAGTTTGCTCTGGAGCCCTCCTTCCTGAGCCGAGACAAAAATCTGTGAGCTGGAGGCTAAAAAACTGTGAGCTGGCTCACACTAACTCAGCTTAGAGGGAACACTGCTCACAGGGTGTCTGTTGTGGGGAGGGGAAGGGAAAAGGAGTCTGTAAGCCGCTCTGAGACCCCTTTGGGTAGTGAAGGGCGGGGTATAAATCCAATCTCTTCTTCCCGTTTAAAGCTTGGGAATGTTTTTAAAAAATTATTTTTATTAAAATTTTCAAATGTTTTCCAGAGCAATACAAACATAGTCAGTGAGCGACATTAAGAATAGCATTCTAAAAAAAACCAGTTTAATAATACATTTTAAGGTGCCCTTATACTATTGAGTTGAGTAGTGCTAAATACATAGATATTTTGTTCCGGGAGGCAATGTAATGAAAAGGAGTGAGCTGAATAAGTACCGATCTTTGACTATGAAAGGAATGGTCACTGCTTTTTAACTTTATATCAAGAGGTCTTTTTTTCTCTAAAAAGAAGTGATAATTTTTCCGATGGATTGTACAGTTCCCTCTCATTACGGCTCTCGTTGAAGAAGACCATACATTTCTCTAGTAAGAAGTAATCCCAGACTATGGCATACCAAGAGGCAGTTGTGGGTGGGAAATTACGGGTGGAACTTTGGGCAGTTGCTGTGGGCATTGTGATTGAAACTTATTTAAGAGGCTGGCAGACAAACTACCATGTTTTGTCTCCAGTATTGGAGCATGTTTCACAAATGCGCTAATATAGGTTTTACAAGCTGTTCCTCAGTCTTTCATATGTAGATTTTAAAGAGCATGGCATTATTTCAAAGAGCTTTGAGGCTAGTTTTCAGTATAATTTTAGCAGTGTCTCTTTGAAATTACATAATTTCCACTACATGGCAGTTTTCCAAACTGTGTTGTTTGTACTCTTGAAAGTACATAATGGGGACAGGAAGGTATTTCGTTGAGAAACACTCAGTCTACCTCTGATACAGTCTTGTGTGCAAATATTGGCAACCACAGTAGAGATTTTATCATATCCTAAATAATCCCCCCCCCCCATTTTTTGTATTGAACAGTTTACCTATGGGAAACTTGAAAACATGCACGCTGTCTTGAAATATTTTGGTTGAGCCTAATGAAAAGGTATTACATGACTTCTGTTTTTGGAATTCTTTCAGAATTTTTATGGTTTCCAAATGATTCACTGCACCCTTGCTCCACAGATCTTTTCATCTTATTCCCGATCTCTGTTACTGACTGCCAGTGGATTGTGGAATGGAGTCTGTGTTAGTAATCTTAAAAACTGTCAAGAAGGTCAAGTGACAAAAGTGCTTCTTCTACTACTCTTCTTTGAAAATTTCTCTACCAGCAAATGTAGAGTGTAAGAAAATGGTTGCCACAAGAAAGAGAACCTGTCTGTTTTCTAGAATATGTGTTCCCTTTTATTGGGTCTGCCATTGTGTGGCTTTTTACTGAACCTTTGAAAAGGATGTCTCTCCCCTCCGCCTCCATATTCTGGGCAAGGGCTGAAGTTTGGTACAGAATGGATGCTGGATGACCTCCCCTGCCACAGATGTAGCTAGGGTATTCTGGAATGAAGGATGTTTGGTTTTAGCTTCCTTTTAGGATGTATGCAATTTTATTATTGCATGATTATTTTATATGGAGAGCTGCGATGGCTCAAGTGGTTAAGACACTGAACTGCAGGCTGGAAGGGTCAGCAGTTCGAGACCCGAGTGCCACATGACAGAGTGAGCTCCCATCCCTGGTTCCAGCTCCTGCCAACCTAGCAGTTCGAAAGCAAGAAATTGCAAGTAGATAAATAGGGACCACTTCGATGGGAAGGTAACAGCGTTCCGTGTGCCTTGGTGTTTAGTCATGCTGGCCACATGACTACGGCGACGTCTTCGGACAGCACTGGCTCTTCGGCTTGAAAACAGAGATGAGCACCGCAACCCTAGAGTCGGATTCAACTGGCTTTCGAGCAAGGGAAACCTTTACCTTTGCCTAATGTTTTGCAATGCCGGTGACTCTACAGATTTGATCTGAGGGTTGCACCTGTTCCAGTAGTCCTTTTGTTGTTGTTCTTGTTAGGTTTTTGGTGGTCTGAGAGATTTATCCAGAATCTTTGTTAAGAAGTATTTTCATCATTTCAAGGGGAGGGGGAGACACTTGGTCCCTCCCTCGGACTTCCATCCAGCATCTAGCCACAGTTCCAAACCTGAAGAAGAGCAGCTGAAAGAACCATTGAATATTGTTGTTTCTATTGTGCTTGCACATGAAAGCGACAATTCTTTGAATAAAATTGTATTGGTCTTAAAGGTGCCAGTGGTCTCAAACTTTGTTCTGCTGCTTCATACCGGCACGCCTACTTCACCTGAATCTGTCTTCTCTGTGAGACGGTGAGGGTGGGATATAATATTTTTAAACAAATAAAACCTCGAGCTTCTGAAATGAAACTTTACTGGGGCAAGAAGGAACAGAAGCGGAGAGATTGAGCAAATAAGTTTGACAATTTTATAATTGAGGCTACAAGATCCTATCCCCAGCGCTTTCCCATGGATCCTGTTCCATCAGCTCCTGGGCGTTTTATGAGTATCTTAACATTTTTTAGTCTTGAGTAGTTTCTTCATCACAGTTTAGAGTATTTTACAAAAGCCTGTCTGGTGCGCACTGTAAATTGGCTGCCATAAATTATTACTAGTGGTGTCTCCTGCATTATGAATGTTTTAATGAGCTCTTTCTGCTGCCAACATGTTGCAAGTATAGCATCTGCAATGGTTAGGAACAATATCCAGGGCCGAATATATTCTAGCAGTGGCACCATGTTTTGTTTTGTAGAGGAATGATTTTGTACTCATCTGTGTTCACCTTTCTTGTTTTGGATACTGACGGTATAATCCTAAACAGATTTAAATGACTTCAAGGATTGTCCAGTGAGTTACTTTTAAAACTGCTAGATAATGGCCGCATAAGGAGAATTCCTTTTTCTCCAGTCTCCTGGAAGCAGCTGGGCCTGAAAAACGTCTTTGGCTAGTATCACACTGAAAGAAACCCAGAGAAAGACAAATGTGTGGCCTGTTCCCCTCCGCATATAAGAATTCTGGCAAAAAACATTCAAGCAGTTTGATGGTAAGGTTGTATTGCTTTTTTTCCTCCCTTTGGTTACTATTATCTGCAGTACGTAGCGTTTTCTCGAGTAATATGTGCAAAATGGAAGCTTCCTGGTCCAAGGAGTTTACAGTCTAAATTTCAGAAGTGGGGAAGTCAATAGAGAGGGAAGAAGAGAGGGAAAGGCAAGGGTGAATGACCTTAGGTACAACTGTGTGTATTTTGGCTTCCATTTCAGCTTGGGAATGAAGACTCGGCCCACCTAGTAAAGTCAAGTCAAGTCAGCCTTTATTGGGATAAATTATCAGTACCATTTATACATTTAAAACCAGTTAAAACTCATATATACAATTCTAGAAGAACCTTTGGCGCAGCTTTAAAGCCAGGCAGAGAAACTTAGGCACCTTCTCTGTGATGTCCGGACTGAAATCTCTTAAAAGTCTATTCCCCTTAAGTGCATCAGAGCAAGCCCCCATGCTGGTTAAAAGAGAGTGTAAGTAAGTGATCCTTAGGTCCATATACAAATTGCAGTGCAGGAGAACATGCGTGATAGATTCCGCACATTTCATCTGCAAGGGCAGTATCTGGCCAGATGAGAAACCTTGTTAAATCTGCCAAATAAAATGGCGGACGGCATAGCATTACATCTGGCCCACCTATTCATGGGACAAGTGGGTTTTGATGACAAAACTTAAGGAGGAGAGGTAGAACTGGAGTCCTTGAAGGTGGCTCTCGGCTTAAAGGGAGGAATGAGAAACTAAATTTACTCTTTTGCCAAAGAAAATTAAAAAGAAAAAAAACTTTCTGTTGTCCCCGTATCACTTTGTATTTCATGTGTTCCTCAAGAATAATGAGGTCAGTTATGCCTCACTGCCTCAGCCTTCCCCCCATTTTCCTTTTTTTTAAGTAAAAGGTAAAGGTAAAGGTTTCCCTTGCTCGAAAGCCAGTCAAGTCCTACTCTAGGGTTGCGGTGCTCATCTCCGTTTCAAAGCCGAAGAGCCAGCGCTGTCCGAAGATGTTTCCGTGGTCATGTGGCCGGCATGACTAAACACCAAGGTGCACGGAACGCTGTTCCCTTCCCACCGAAGTGGTACCTCTTTATCTACTTGCAATTTCTTGCTTTCGAACTGCTAGGTTGGCAGGAGAGATGCAACAAGTGAAGGCCAAACAAAGTTGCTGTAGCCAAGACAGGAGATATTTAGACTGTGAACCAGAGTTTTAGCTCAGGGAACAGAGAGGAAGGTTTATATTTTTTGCTGTGTTGTCTGTGAAGCAGCAGCATTACTTTGTGACAATACAAGAGTAAAACAGAAGAGGAATCCTCTGTGTTTGTGTGTGTGGTTGACAGTGAGTAGCAATGTTCCCTCTATGCTGTGGAATCTTGTGAGCAGAAATTCTACTTTGTGAGCTACTGGCATTAAAGTTGTGAGCGAGCGACTTGGCTGCTGTATAAATTAGTTTGCTCTTGAGCCATCCTTCCTGAGCTAAGACAAAAAATGTGTGAGCTGGAGGCTAAAAAACTGTGAGCTAGCTCACACTAACTCAGCTTAGAGGGAACACTGGTGAGTAGTGAAACGGCTCAAGGAGGAGAGGGAAACAGTTCAGTCTTGGACTTATTTTTCTGAGGTAGTGGTGAGGCATCCCGCTAGTAATATCAGTTGGGGAGCTAGATGTATGTGGCTGGAGGGAGAAATATAGCATAGACAGATATAAGTGGGTGTTTGTGAACAGATGATTTCATGAGGCCACTCAGGCAGAGGATGTAAAGAGAGAACCACAGGGGACCGTGACATTCCCCCGTGGAAGTGCTGACGGATAGGAGGAAAATCAGCAGACAGCAAAGATGTGCGTAAGAACTGCCTACTCCTACATGGACCTATTTGACCACTGTTGTCATCATGGAGGTCTGCTTCGAGGGCCCTTGCCTTCTGAGGCTAGATGCCGGCAACCTGAGAAATATTCGGGAACTCCATCCCCAGGGAGATTTGTCTGTGCCCCCTATCCCTATCTTCCACCAGTATGTTCCGGGTGGTCAGCCATGTTGGTCTGAATTTGTTCCATCCATATGTGAAGACTTTTCGTTTTGTTTGAACTTCATGTTTTTGAATTTGGTTTGTTTTACATTGTGTGTGTGTATAGCGCAGGGGTGTCGAACTCATTTGTTATGCAGGCCGGATCTGACATAAATGAGACCTGGTTGGGCCGGGCCATGTGTGTCATAAAATGTAATGCCAGGTAGTGGAGATATAAACTTTATAAAGGACACGGACAATTAGCACGAAGATTTTAAAGATTTTAAATAAAGCATGCTTAAAACACTAGCACGCTTGCAATATTTTGTCTATTTAACAATCTCTGATAACTGACACCTCTTGCTCTGAATTATTGCATCAAAATGTCTGTGTTAGAGCAATCTTGAGTATTGACATTCATTATATATTTGATTTATTGACATTCATTATAGAAATCTCATGCTCAGTGTTCTGAGCCTAGGACCAGTGGTTTACCAGACTCTCTCAATTGCACAGGAGAGGCTTGCCTATCTGTCTCTCCTGTGTGATTGAGAGAGTCTGGTAAAGTAAGCTGTGATGTAGCAGCAGCAGCAGAAGACCTGAAAAGGAAGCAGGAAACAGCCATGGCCTTGCGGGCCAGATTGTAGCCCTCTGAAGGCCTGATCCGGCCCCCGGGCCGCATGTTTGAGACACGTGGTATAGAGTGTGTGTGTGTATTTTAAAGTTGTTTAAATGTTTTTGACCACCACTTAGGGGACCCTACGCTGGTGGAAAGGCAGCATAAAGATGTTTTATATAAATAATAACATAAAATAAATCTGAGGCAGAGAGTGAAACAAAGAGAAAAGGAGAGTTCCCTGGTCTGGGCATTAGTTTATCTGTATAATGCTTTTACAGGCAGTTAAAGTTTCTGTTCCCTAACATGTCCTCTAAAACAAGCTACTCTTTTATTTGAATGTCAATGTTCTTACTTTGTTTGGAGAAACAGTTTTCTCCCTCTCCCAAAGTACTTGAACTTGGGGGCATCGAATGAAGTTGATAGGCAGTAGATTCAAGATGGACAAAAGGAAATAATTCTTTACTCAATGAGTGATTAAAATGTAGAATTTGCTGCCAGAGGATGTAGTGATGGCCACAGGCATAGATTAGACAAAAGGGGATTAGAGATGGAGGCTAGGTCTCTCAGTGGCTACCTGGTGACTAAAGGGAACCTCTGCCTTAGGAGGCAGTAAACGCTGAATCCCAGTGCTAGGAGGCAACTTCAGGGGAATGTTGTGGTCTCTATGCCCTGTTGTTGGAACTGGTTGGCTGCTGTGTGAGACAGGGCTCTTCTTATGTTCTGTGTTTTATGACTCTGCCCTAGGGTTGCCAGGTCTTACCTTGCTGCCGATGGGTGGATCTTTGCTCCTCTCCGAGAGCTTCTGTGTGTGCCACACAATGACATCACCTGGAAGTGACATCATCACACCACTGACATCGTGCAGCAGTGCTCTAGGTTTTGGGCAAAACTCTATGGCTTTGAACCCACACTTACCATAGAGTTTTGCCCAAACCCTCGAGCGTTGCTGTGTGACATCGGTGCTGTGATGACATCACTTCTGGGTGACGTTGTGCTTTGTTTGGGGACATTTGTGGGCAGGGTTTTCCCCTACCGGCCAGCTGGCCAGTGGTGGGGAGGAGCCTGTAAAAGCTGGGAAACTCTTGCCTGGACCGGTGGGCTGGCAACCCTAGTCTGCCCGCATAACAGTTTAATCAAATGATGCCCTTTTGGGCAAGCATACTGTATTTTCTTATTTTTCATCACCTGCATATCTTAATGATCCTACTAGCTTAAGCTTTTTGTACACTGTTTGTTACATCTGTATGCTGACGATTGTTTTAAAACCGTTTTAAAATGGAAACAGTAAGATTCCATTCTCTGCCTTGCTCTAAGATTAACAGATAGTGCATGCATGCTTTTAGTGGCTTGATCTGACAGAGAATGGCCATGAGTACATATGGACATATGGGATAGTAGCATTTTTTGTGGAACAGAAACTTTGATAGACTTATTTTGAAAGGCTGACCCAGGCCTCTCAAAGAGTGTGAGGAATTTCACATTACCCTTTTTAACCCGTTTTGAAGCCGTTTTGATCCGTCATGGAGTAAACTGGTATAGGGCTGCCATTTCACACATGGCTTTCCCCTTCCGGTAAAGAGCTGGATCTGAAGCGGTTTGCCATTTCAGATTGCACCACATTTTCCCCGCCGTTTTTCGCCCGCACGGGCGATCTCCGGCTTTTTTTTTTTTTGGAACGTTCGCTTTATAGCGCTGTAGCACTATAACAAAACACTCCAGGCATTCCAATGGCATTGATACACTGCTATAACGCTATAAAGCGAACATTAAAAAAAAAAAAAGCCGGAGATCGCCCGCGCGGGCGCATCGGAACCGGGAGAGGAAACTGAAGACTACTTAGAAGCGGTTGACAGGTAAAACGCTTCAGCCCCGTTTCCTAAACGGGACAGAAGCGTTTGTGTCTGAAATTACAAATATATTCCGGTAGGGAACCGGTTCTAAAACGGTTCTGTCTGAAAGGACAGACCAGAAACCGTTTGGGAACCGTTCCTCTTCCGGATTATATCGTCTGTCTGAAATTCCTCATTGACAATATATGTGGTGGCTGGATGCCACACTAGGGTTAGGGAGCATTAGGTTCAAATCGGCACTGTGCTAGGAAGCTCAGTTTATGATCTTGGGTCAGCCTAAGCAGTTGTCTTGAGGTCCTTGGAGAAAGACTGAAGAGATAAATAAAAAAGTAGGTCCAGATAGTGTAAGTGAAAGCATCTTTACTATATACCTATATTTCTGTTCTAGGTTTTTCTTGAGTCTCCTGGCAATGTCCTTGATCTTGTCTGCCTCTGTGGTCCGTGTGAGAGATGGACTCCCTCTGTCGGCCTCGACTGACTATGAGCAAAGTGCTGGTGTGCAGGAATGTAGGAAGTACTTCAAAACTCTTGCAAAGAAACTTGCTCAGCTTCCTGATAGATGCACGCTGAAAGCAGGGAAGTATAACATAAAGTAAGTTGCCCTGCAGGGTCAGCCTTCTCTCTGCAAACTTGTTCTGCACAGCTTCTTGTGAAACTGCTTGTACAAATGGCGACGAAGTAAAGAAATAATGTTAAGTTCATTTTTCAAAAGCAAATAAAAGTCCTGATCTGGTTTCATCAGTCATTAATATGAAAGCATTTTAATTCTTTTACCGTGCTTCACTATCGCTTGAGTAAGATTGGGACCTTCAGAATGGAAATCAGTTCATTAGTAATTGCTTGCCAAAGCTGGTATAGCTGTCCGACATGAATTGTGTGTGTGTATAGCGCAGGGGTGTTTGCAGCCTAGTAGTCTGGGAATGGAGAGGCTTTCTGTTTGACATATTTATGGAATGCCATGAGGTCACAGCCAATGTTCCCTCTAAGCTGTGGAGTCTTGTGAGCAAAAATTCTATTTTGTGAGTTACTGGCATTAAAGTTGTGCGCAAGCGATTTGGCTGTTGCATAAATTAGTTTGCTCCGGAGCCATCCTTCCTGAGCTAAGACGAAAATGTGTGAGCTGGAGGCTAAAAAGCTGTGGGTTGGCTCACGCTAACTCAGCTTAGAGGGAACACTGGTGGCAGCCGTTAATAAGGGGTAAAATGTGCTTTCAAAACAGGATGCGGAAGAAGTGTGCTATCACGTAGTGTATGATAAGAACATAAGAACATAAGAGAAGCCAATGTTGGATCAGGCCAATGGCCCATCTAGCCCAACATTCTGTGTCACACAGTGGCCAAAAATACCAGGGGCCATCAGGAGGTCCAGCAGTGGGGCCAGGGATACAAATGACGGGATACAAATGATGCATTTGTATCCCAGCAGTTGCCTAGGTTCAGCATTTGAAGCTCTTTGGCATCTGCTGGGTATGATGGGGGTTTGCTGCCTATCACTTTCCTTGTCTTTTCCTAACAATTTAAAAAAATATATTGTGAAACAAAAAAATCTTAAGACCTCAGATCATCCTGAGACAAGCTGTTGAGTATCTTCATTGAAATTGCATTGTGACTTTTTAATCTCCTCATAATTTATCAGTGCAATGCTAAGCACAGTTACGTCCTTCTAAACTCATTGAAGTTGACGGTCTTAGAAGGGTGTAACCAGGGCTTTTTTGTAGAAAAAGCCCAGCAGGAACATATTAGCATAATAGGCCACACCCAACAGCAGAAACTCATTAGCATATTAGGCCACACCCCTGATATCAAAGCTCATTAGCATATTAGGCCACACACCCCATGCCTTCCTTTGGCTTGCCCGGGCAAGCCCCCCTTTGAAGGGAAGGCAGTTTAAACTGCCTTCCCTTGGCTTGCTGCAGGGCTTGCTTCCCTTGGCAGCTGTGGGGTGCCCAGGCAAGCCGGCCCTTGGACAGGGCAGGGAGGCATGGGGAGGCATTTAAATGCCTCCCCGATCCTTCCAGGGTCCCCCCTGGCCCACCCGCCTCGGAGTCGCCGGGGGGGTCGCTCTCCAGGCCTTCCCTCTGTAGCCAGGCACGCAGAGGGTTTGGCTGTAGTGGGCGTGGCCAACTCTGAAGCCAGCCGGAACTCCGTTCCTTTGCGTTTCTGCCCAAAAATAGCCCTGGGTGTAACTGTGCTTAGAACTGTGCTGTGTATAGTGAAAAAAGTTACAAAATAGGGCCTGTACTGTTTTCTGTGCACACTGAAGGTTTTGTAGTTAAAGCAATTGGTTGTACATAATGCTTGGCAGTACGATCTCTTTTTGTCCAACAGGCTATGAAAAACAGTATTCCTTGTAGTATAGTCTTGATAGTACGCATTCATATGGCCTAACATTATATATGACAATGTTTAGCCGTAAGGCTTCATTGCATGGTGTATTGCTGGGTGGGTTGTTTTTTTTAAAGTTCAGACATCTCTTCCCCCTGCCATTGCTCTTGTACCAAAAGTTTTTCTTTAATTTTTTTTCTACAGAACATAAAATCAAACTTGCCCATTGTCTAGTACTATATCTAGGAAAATAAATTGGAGTTATTTCTGGGTGTACAGTTACAAAGGGGAAAAATCGATATTCAGAAAGTAAACTTGGATTATTGCTCTAATTAGCCACATTTCTGTTGCTTTGACCTTTTAAATAAACCTCCTTGGGTAATGCTGATAAATCTCTGACAATTTAAAAATGAAAAAAGAACCTTTAAGGGTCTCTTTAAAAATAATGGTAGTGTGTCAGCTTAATTATTTTTAAAGATGTATGGCATGTACCTAAAATTCTCTGAGAACTACTGTTTAAATTGCATAGAAACATTATGTACTAAAGCAGTGTTTTAATGGAGTGTTTAATAAAGGAAGAGTGTAAGCATATGCCAGAGTTTCAATTAGAAACCAGAGTTTCAGTTAGAAATGGGAAAATTTTTCAGCCTTTCCTTAATACCATCTCTGGATACTTAAGAAGACACATCCTTACTAGGGAAGAATTTCATTCTCTGGCTCATAAAGATAATTCTGAAGAGCTGGTCAGTAGCTTTTGTGCAATAAAGCATATGTCATGTTCAATGCTCCCTCTAAGCTGTGGAGTCTTGTGAGCAAAAATTGTACTATGTGAGCTACTGGCATTAAAGTTGTGAGCGAGCGATTTGGCTACTGCAGAAGTTAGTTTGCTCTGGAGCCCTCCTTCCTGAACTAAGACAAAAATGTGTGAGCTGGAGGCTAAAAAACTGTGAGCTCGCTCACACTAACTCAGCTTAGAGGGAACACTGGTCATGTTATGCATGGCCAATAAATAAAACATTCCCAGGGGTAGGAGAGGGCCACATACCCTCCCCTCTCCCCTCCCTTCTTCCCACTGTGGAGAGATCCCATCCTCCTTTCTTGCTACAATTGACACAGGGGTGTTCAACAGACATCGTTTTTACAGGGGGGAAATTTTACTTGTAGCAATGTTATAGTTTTCTGACGAATATTCACATCTTCCTTACATCCATAGCAGTTTTACTTGCATACAGAACAACTCTTAAGCTGTGGGTGTATGCATTTAATTTTGAAATGTTAAACTCTTGTTGTTGTCTTTTAATTGTAGTTTTATTAGTTCCTTGGGAGTGAGTTACATGATGTTGAGCACTGAAAATTACCCCAGTGTCCTCTCCTTCTGCTTCTTGGATGAGCTTCAAAAGGAGTTCATCACCACATACAACATGATGAAAACAAATACAACTGTTAGGCCCTACTGTTTCATTGAGTTCGGTAAGCGATTGACCTCCCCATCCCCCGCCCAATAGCCTACTGTGATTTAATTTTTGAATGTGCCTTTCCAGATTGGTGTGTGCAGTGTGATTCAGGTAAGGTAAACATAGCCAGCTTCTCTAGAAAACTAATTGTGACTAAGGTCTGGAAAAGAAGGTTTTCATTTGCTTCCACTCTTTGGAGGTATGGGTTTAGGTCATTTACCCTAGGAAGGGAGTCTGATACTACAACGGAGAAGCTGCTCCCCCCCCCCTTCCAGTTTTTTGTAGTGGACTGTTCACTGGTCCCTGTTGATTTCAGTCTGTAGAAATGTTTGTGGATTCCTTAATTATTACGGCAAAAGTAAAACTTTTCTTTGCTTAGCAGTTTGTCTTTTCTCTTTGAGTTTGTTGTTTCTTGCCATGGAAACGGTTAAGGCTCGTTTAGTGAGTTTGCGCATGGAAGGAAATTATTTTTAAAAAGATTAATTTTTGGTATTGGGGAGTGAATAAAGAACGTGGGTAGAGAAAGATTCCAATTAGTGCTCCCAGCATGATCTTATTCCACACAGTTTTTAAGCAGAAAAAAGATATGACTTTAAAATCTAAAGCTTCCTCTCCCATACCAATATGCAGGTTCTGTGATTTTAGAGAGCATTTGTGAAAAGCACATTTCAGCCATTTCTTGCCAGTTTTGTCATGCCTAAGCTACTAGTGTGTACAGGGGCCACCTTTAAATATTTCACACTGCAAGGGAGAAGGAGCGTAGCAAAGTTGTGACAAAGCAGGAATTTAATATTTGCTTAAATTGGGTAAAAACAGTAGCACACTTAAGATCTGCTCATAATGGGTTTGGAGACATCCCTGCTGCTCACAGTGGCTGTCTTTTGGGTGGGACACATTCTGGTTATCTTGACACAGGCCACTCAAAAGGGTATTATTCGCAGCCCTTGCTCTTGGAGAACAGGAAACCAAAGATAATTTTTCCCATTGTCTAGTGGACAGAAGGTTTTTGACACCTTCCCTTCCATGTACAGAGGTTGGCCCAAGGAGAATGCAAAATAAATTTAGAGGTTTAATAAGTTTTGTATGTTAGAGCCAATGCTTCTGTCCTGTTAAGGGTGGAGTCATCTTCCTACACTAGGAGTGTTCAGCTAGCTGGAAATGTGTCCTGCTATTGCAGGTCTCCCTGTGCTGATAGAATCCTTGTTGCATTAGTGGGACAGAAACATTGCCTCCCAACCTTCTGTTTCAAAATATTTCAAAAATGCGGTATTCTATTTGCAGAAGGAATTAATAATCATCACTATGCCTAACAAGTAGTGACCTATGATAATTGTGGGAGGATCCATTGCAGCTGTTAGCTTTATTCCCCCCATCGCTGCTACCAGCCCTGGCTTCTTCCCTCCTGACACCAGCAGGCCCTGCACAGGTCCTGGCCGCCGGACACACTGAGGCTTCTTTCCCGTGTCAGTGACCAAGCTGGCGAGCTCTGCTGAGCCCACTGAGGCTCCACTCTCCCAGTCAATGGTGGTGAGCCCCACGGAGTTCCCAGCTGCCAAGGCCACTAAGAATTCTCCCCCCCACCACCATCAGTGGCAGTGAGCCCCATGTGGCTCCCAGCTACTGAGAAGGTCCCCCCCCCCCCCATGATGATGCTGGCAAGCCCCACTTGGCACCCAGCTGAGGGGCCCACCAAAGACTTTTCCACCATGGGTCAATGGTGACAACACATCCAGCAGAGGATGTTTGTTGGGGGGGGGGAGGATGTAAACCCTCCCATGATTTTTAAAAAAACTTTTCACATTTTTTTGCGAACCGGAAGAGTCCCTCAGGTTTGCTGATCTGTCTGTTGTGAGTGGCTCCAATCCATGGACTTAGATATCCTCAGATGGGGGCCACACATTGCTTCTTAGAAATATAGATAGTAAACGAATTGTCGTGGAGGTAAGTGATGAAAGCCACAAACCTGGGTGAGTCACAGATTAAATAGGAGTCTCTGACCATTTTTGGAACTCTCCAAGTATGCAGACAAATATAAATTAACCAAAAGTGTTTTAAATGACTCAAAAATGGCCTCAGTTGCTCCAGAAGGGATGGAATGTTGAGAGCAGCTGTGTGTGTGTGTGTGTGTGGGGGGGGGTGAACTTACTGAAGCCGTTGAAAGGATCCTGGAGAGGGAGATTTTAGAGGGTGAGTGGATCGCCAAATCCTCCTGTGCCCCGATTCTTCATAGACTTTGAGCTTGTTAATGACCGATGTTAGTTTTGATATTTAGTCTTTGAGAGAGTAGTTTGAACAACAAAAGGCTTGTGTTAAAAACAGCCCTCTTTTTTGTAAGAATGTTTTCTGAATTCAAACTTAAACCAAATGCAATGCATTAATTGTATTATCCATACTTTCAGGCTTGCCAGTGCATGAGACATTAGTTTATTCATAATTAGATTTCTAGTGCTTAATTTTTTGGTGCTGCAAAATTAATTAGTCCATGATGTGTTGGTGATAACGCAGCAACACTATTAACACGTTCTGAGATGAATGTAAGAATTTTAAATAATGAATTTAAATGTGTGTATCTGAGACTTATATTGCCTATAAAGCCATGGGGTCTCAAATGATTTTATTAACAAACATCTGTGGGGGGGTTTTAATTTTGCACAGATAATTTCATTCAGAGGACCAAGCAGAGATACAATAATCCACGGTCTCTGTCGACAAAGATAAACCTTGCTGACATGCAAACAGAAATCAGGCTGAGACCGCCGTATCAAATTTCCTTATCTGAACTAGGTTCACCTAATGGATTACCACATATATCCCTTAAGGAATACAAAGGTACTTGGAAAATATCTGCAGGTGAGTTTGTTGTAAGAAGTAGAAGGTATAGAAATTGAGTCTTGGAAGGGATAGAAATTGAGCCTCTTGCTTACATTATTACAAATCGTAGATTTTACCTGACCTGATGCTACTTTGATTGCTCTTCCTATAGCTATATATCACTCTTTATACAGTCAACAGGGTGCTTAGCTCAAGTCCTTAAACACCATAAAAACTAGGGGTGTGCACTCAGTATATATTGAGCTGAATAAATACCCGAAAAATGTCTTATCAGTATTTTCTGGGTATTTATTCAGTCGAATACAGATCAGAGACCTGTATTCAGCTACCAAAGTAGTCACACCTGAATAAAAGCCGATATTATTGGGTTTTTATTTGGGCATGGCTACTCACTGAATTGTGCTGCACCTGTGGTATGACTCCACCTTTAAATGCCTTCCCTTCCCTCCTGGAGTCATGCTGCCACTGCCGCGTGACTCCACAAATGAAGGGAAGTGATTTAAAATGTAGATGCCTTTAAATCACTTCCCTTCACTCCCGAAGTCGCGCCACAGTGGCAGCATGAGTCCAGGATGGGAGGGAAGGCATTTAAACTTTAAATCACTTCTCTTCACTCATAGAGTCATGCCGCAGTGGTGGCACAACTTGGCAAGTGAAATTCTCCATCATACCCTATGTGGACAGTCCCCGTAGGGTATAATGGGGCCAAATAAATTTGAGTTTCACAAGTATTTACCCAAATACCAGGAAAATACTGATACTGGTATTCTGAAATATTCAGGATTACTGATATTTTTTCATGTCCAATAGACACAAATTGGAAAGAACCCAAATTTTATTTTTGCATACCCCGAGTAAAAATCCATTCCAAAATCTGATCACTCCCTTAGACAGAGGAAATAATTTCACATTCAGCCATGAAACTTACAAGGTCACTTCAAATGGAAATTAGAGTATGTTTTTAAGTTTAGTCCACTTTATCATGTTGGATTTTGACAGGAAACACTTCTACAACAGAAAGCTGCATTTTTAACACACACACACCCCACACACACACACGGGTTAATGCATTTGGCATTAACCAAGCTGAAAAAAAAATACCTGAAAAGTACCTTAATGGTATTTTTTGGGTATTTTTAAAGCTAGTTTTAAGTTGGGGCTCCACTGAACTTAAAGAGCATTTAAAGGGATTGTGGTCCCTTTAAATGCCTTCTCTAAATGGCACAACTCTGTGGCAAATAAACTCCGAAGGTGTTTAAAAGGCTCACAGTTCCTTTAAATGCCTTCTGGATGAACTCGCCACTTCATGGTGTTTAATGGGACTGCGAGCCCTTTAAACGCCTTTGGAGTTCACTCACCATGGAGTTGCGGGGCTTGGAGAAGGCATTTAAAAGGACCACGATCCTGTTAAATGCCTTTTTATCTCCATTGGAAACAATGGAAGATGGCGGCACCTTCTTCTGGAACCCATAGAATTGGACCCCCTGGTCCAATTCTTTTGAAACTTGGGTTGTTTTTTTTGAGGTGAGGTACCAGGAGCTATGCTGCAAATTTGGTGCCTCTACCTCAAAAAAGCCTTCCCAGAGCCCCACATACCCCTGGATTGATTCTCCATTAAACCTTATGGGGACCATTGACTATAATGGTCCCCATAAGGTATAACGGAGCCAAAAAATTCGGGTTTCCCAATTATTTACAGAATCTGAATACCATAGTGGTATTTGTATTCACGAATATCAGGAAATACTGATATTTTTCGGGTTCAATATACAGAAATCTGAAAAATACCAGGGTTGGGTTGTTGTTTTTTTGCATACCCCTACCTCTACACACTAATTCCTAATTATATGTAAAGTTGTGCACAGATCAATTCCAGCAAAACAGAAGGAACACACTTTATAGAGTTTACAAACAGTGATGATTAGACAATCCAGTTCCCTTCTCCTGGGGAAGTTGCCTTTGTCACTCCCGAGCTTTCTCTGACTTTATGAACAGCTTCTGATGGGCCTTTTTCTGCTGCAGCTGTTCAGATACAAACAACACAGAATGACACCACTCTCTATATTAATGTTCCAGCTCATTAACTTCATTGTTGGCACCTTTACACTTGACTGATTTAAACAGAATGATTTAAATATGGTTCAGCAACCTTATTGTGGCACCCTCCATGTTGCCTAGACTACTGTGGATTTTGCTTTTGTTTTTTCCCCATATTCGGTTTCTGTCACTTGTTGTGGAATAGCGCAGTAACGGCTTGTACACACATCCAGTATGAATTGGCTGTCATTTGTGTGTGCCGCTGGCTCGTCAATAGCACAGATGAGTGCCTGCAGAAATGCTTATTTCCAGCCTGCCTTTTTATTGTCATTATGATCGGTAAGAGAAATGTACGTTAGGTCTGTGCGTAGACCAGAGCATAAAGAAGACGGTGGTCTTTGTACCACTGGTAACCTAACTCTGTTTCTTTATTACAAAGCAAACATCCTAAGGCTGTGATTTTGTTCATGTTAACTTGGAAGTAAGCCTATAGGGGTTCTGCATAAGCATGCCTGGTATCAACAAAGGAGTTGCTGATTTAAGGTCCTGGAAGTCAGGATGCTACCTAAGTACTAGAGGAAGTGGATTTGGGGTGGCAGATGAAGTAGGAGATAAATGGAATACCGAGCACTTTTTAAATGTTATTTGATGTAGCGGAGAATAACTTCAGCACAAACATTTTATGCATGAAGTCAGGCAGGAATCCTGAGGCACACTTGGTTGGGAGCTCGTCTCCCTGACCTCTGTGGGCATCACTTCTGAATAAGCATACTTGCTGGGCTGTAAATCACTTTTTCAAGTTGTTGCTTTTGCTTTACAATTATATACAAGGGGGACCAGCAATTCAAAGCAGTACAATAATAATGATGAAAAATTGCTGTAAGTTCACAAATCACAATGAATAGACGATAATAACTAGTACAGAATTGACGCTTGATGATGTTTATAATTTCTATGTTTTCAGAACACAGGACGTCAAATACGGAAGGTGAGCGATACGAACATCTCGAGTGGTTGTTCGTTTCGAGACAACTCTTTTTCAACCAAATTCAGTTCTCTGGTTGTCTTATTGTGTTTAGCTGTGACAACAAGACTTGTTGTCCGAATTTAGAATTTGTTAGCCCTTGTGCTGTTAAAACTTGTTAGCCTATGTGCTTTACGGATGTTGGATAAGATTGATATCACAGCTAAACACAATAAGACAACCAGAGAACTGAATTTGGTTGAAAAAGAGTTGTCTCGAAACGAACAACCACTCGAGATGTTCGTATCGCTCACCTTCCGTATTTGACGTCCTGTGTTCTGAAAACATAGAAATTATAAACATCATCAAGCGTCAATTCTGTACTAGTTATTATCGTCTATTCATTGTGATTTGTGAACTTACAGCTTTTGCTTTACAGAAAGAGAGATGGAATCATCGGTAGCAGTGCTTCAAAAGCATGACCTCCTACCCTGTGGCTAACTGTGGGCTAGTTATTTATTTTGTTCACTTACTGGCCTGTTTCATCAGCCCTTGAGCCTAGTCCTGAATAGCTTGGGTGCATTAACCTGAGTAAAGTTTTTGCCTCTGGCAAAGTGTATTTTCCCCCACTGTGCTCTGAAAAGGGATACTTTCCTTTATTTAAGGTTGTTTTTCTACAAGCAGTAAATTGTGAAGTGAGAGAGGAAGTGCTACCGCTCACTTTGGTTAAAATGAAAAGGGAGTTACGCAGTAGGAGCGCTTGGCGAATTGCACTCTGTATTAAGCCAGTGTGTTTTCTAACTTGCGTTGTATCATCTTAAGCAAAAAAAACAAAAACAGCCCCACTGAAAAATAGCATACGCAACCCCCCAAGAAGGAAAATGTCTTTAAATATTCATTGTGTTTTCTTCTCTCTGCCTTCCAGCTCCTCACCAGCGACTGGAACCTGTGACGCTGTCAGGGATTGTTTCCTCTGTACTCAGCCTTTTATGTGGAGCTTTGAATTTAATTCGTGGCTTTCATGCTACAGAGAGTCTTTTGCAGGTAGGGTGACCATGTTGGTGACTTTGTAGAATAAAAATACGGGAAGAATTTCTGTACTTTATTTGAGAAGTTCTTGCAGCAGGTAGCGTAACTTTAATAATCCAGTGCATATTTTCTTTACATAACTTAGCTAAATGCTTTTCCCCTTCACTGAATGGAGTTTGGAAAGGTTTGGTAACCGGTAGCTGGCAGACTAGTTCTGGCCTCCTGAAGGAAGCGCTCCATCCCACTTCAGTCTCGTCGACATATTTAAGTCTGGTCCTCCTCTTCTGCCTATATTGTAGGTAAAGTAAGCCAGAAAAGAAATCTGCAATGATTTATACATAGTCTTGTTGCAAAATAAACTGTTAGGTCTCTTGAGGCCTGTCTGGTTGTTAGTTATTGTGCGGATCAGAATTCCCATGGTGAATTTCCCACCATCACCCCAGGCCATATCGTTTAGAACAGCTTGTACACGAGTTGGAGCAATTTCACTACGAGTGTCCGTACTTGTGATCCACGTAAGTGGAATTCTCAGGGTGCATGTGGTCACAGTGCAGTGGCCCTGATTCATTTACTAAGTAGTGACACTGCTGCGTACTGTGAAACTTGCAAGTATAACATCTAGGCACGTTTTGAGGCTCTTACATGAAGAGAAAAGTTTTTGAATCATGTCACTTTCCTTTAAACTGCAGACTGCCCATTCTTGCCTGTCTTCACTTGTCGGAATCAGGGAAACCCTTGCCTTGCCAATTGTAATTTTCTGAATCCCCAGAAATTTTTGTCAGGAGTAGAGAGTAGGGGTGTGCATGGGGAAAAGTCTGTATTTTTCAGGTTCGGGTAAACCAAACCAAACCTGAAAACTACTGGTGAATAACTATATTCCCGAGTCCCAGTATTGGTATTATACTGGGGTTTCTGGAAACAAGCGGCATTGCTGAAAATGTTTGCCTTGCCGGTAGAGTGTGTCAGTTTCACTCCCCCTGGGCTTCCAAGAGGAGGGGAAGTGAAACTGACCCACTCTCCCTCCCCTGAGTTTTCCCGGCTGGCCTGCCACTGCAGGCTGACCGGGGAAGCGAAGACAGATCGGGGAGGCATCTTTAAACGCCTCCCCTTTGCTTCCCCTCCCCAATTGGCCTGCCAAGGCGGGCCAGCTCGGCAAGCGAAGCGAGAAGGGGTTGAAAAAGTGTAAACCCCTTCTCTCTCCGCTGTACCCTATGGGGCCGTAGGGTACAATGGAGAGATCATGCCACTGCTGCAGCATGACTTGAGAGAGAAGGGGTTTAAAGTTTTTAAGCCCTTTCTCTCTTCACTTCCCCAGCTGGCCCACCTTGGCAGGCCATCTGGAGAGGGGAAGCGAAGGGGAGGCATTTAATGTTGCAGGGCAGAGGCTTAGTTGACTATGCTACGGATTGAAAGAGTCGCTTCCATTTCAGATAGATTCTATCACTTTTTCTTTTAAGCTCTGAACTTGTACAAGATCCATTATTTTCAGTGATATTTAAGATCTATCTCTTACAGTATTTTGAAATGGAAAGATGCCAGATCTGTATGGGGATGTGGCAACACCCCCGTTGCTTTAATGAAGATGTCCTTGTTACCTTTGTAATATCTCATAGTTTCCCTCTACTCTAGCAATATTCCATTGGGCACATAATAGAGAGAGTTATATTGACGTGTGCTCTATAACTGTCAGTAGCTTAAGCTTACAGTTACGATTTATGCCTTCATAGTTTCTATTCAGTGGCGGAAGAACTTTCCGTGCACATCATTCTACCTGCTCTCTTTTGAAAGCCATTGTCATACCCATCACTTTCACATATGCAGGAAGTGCCACCCCTACCCCCCCCCCCAATTGTCGCTTATTGTGAGAGTTGTGTACTGGATAGCCACAGCTTGTGCACATAGGAATTTTTTACAGTAACCAATCCAAAGGAGACCTCCCAGCTTATAAGACCATAAACAAGAAGGAGAAAAGCCAGGGAGACGCTATAGTATGCACAAAACTATTGTATATAACAACACGTTTATATAAATATGAAAAACATAACTGATATATATATAAATATCAGGTATATACAAAATCCATAAAATACAATCAAGCAAGGCACTCTAACTTTGGGAAGGATTTGCTGTTATGACTAGTGCCCGACATTACTGTATTGATGAACGATTGCTGTCGTATAAGATATCATGATATGTAAGTTTGATACTACATCATTCAATGGAGGAATATGACAACAGACTTGTATTGTGTTAAGGAAGTTTACTTCTGAGGAAGAGGGACCGACGAAACAAAGAGAGAATCTGGAACCTTCGTTACTTACCTGTAACCTGTTACTTGCTTGTTATTTACCTTGCTTGATTGTATTTTATGGATTTTGTATATACCTGATCTTTATATCTATATCAATTATGTTTTTCATCTTTATATGTGTTGTTATATACAATAGTTTTGTGCATACTATAGCGTCCCCCTGGCTTTTTTTCTTCGTGTTTATGTAACAGCCTTGAAGTCGCTAGAGAGCTGGACTGGAATGGGTCTCCCAGGCACATACTGGCTGTTGTGCAACTATTGGGTATTCCAGATTAGAGAAAATTATCATATAATACTTCGTCTTCTCTGAAAAGAATTCCAGTTGCCATTTAATAAATGTCGTCCCGTGGCTTTTCTTTGTTTCCACTTTGCGCGTTTTACTTTGTAGGCCCTCAGTGCCCTCTGCTGGATAATGTTGTAGTTACTATAATCCCCAGTATACAAAGCTGCTTTGTGTAGATAAAGTGTGGGAGTGTGGATAAAGAGTGCAAACCCTTCCCCCTTGCCTGTTGCTTACCTCTATACAGTCTGTTCCCAGTTTTGCTTCCTTCCTACATTTGAGTTTATAGTGGGCATTTATACCAGTGTCTCTTTTCCCCCCCTAAAACTGGACCACTTCATAGGCAGTTAGAGCAGATCTGAATTTAAAGATGTAGCCTGACATCACATATGGTGATTTTCTTACACTGTGCAGAGTTGCTAAATGAATTGTGACACATCTTCTCTGTTTGCTGGAGTATTGCCATTACCTGCTTTTTACTGCATCCTGCACACCATGCCATGTACCTGGGCAACTTGGCCGACTTTGGAGTGGGGCTAAGTTGTGTAACGTTGGCTACTAAGTATAGGCACTCACTCTTATCATGCCAGAAGGGGGATGTATTATCTGAATGTATGTCTCATTGAAAAAGAAGAAGAAGAAGAAGAGATTGGATTTATACCCCGCCCTTCACTTGGAGTCTCAGAGCGGCTTACAAACTCCTTTCCCTTCCCCTCCCCACAACAGGCACCCTATGAGGTGGGTGGGGCTGAGAGAACTCTGACACAAACTGCTCTTTTTCAAGGACAGCTGTGCCAGAGCTTGTGACTGACCCAAGGTCACATCAGCAGGTGCAAGTGGAGGAGTGGGGAATCAAACCCGGTTCTCCCAGATTAGAGTCCGCACACTTAACCACTACACCAAACTGGCTCTGCATTGCAAATAGCATCTGTGTACATATCTGATCGTTAAGCTCATTTACTGATCCAAAGGAGATCCATATGCAGGAAGTGTTTCTGTGCACAGAGCTCCTCTTTAGCGGGGTGAGAACGTGCGATGCTTTTGATGCTCTGAGAGATTTTATGATACTCATTGTGATCATCGACATACTAGACATGATACGTTTCTTAAAATAGGGACCCCAATTCTGTTGAACCTTGTTGAAACTGGAGCAAACATCATTTGTGGATTCATAGTCTCCAAAATAAATGGTGCAGCAATGAGTAAGAAATATATTCTGTGATACTTAGATACATTGGGTTCGATCCAGCACAGGGATCCCTGATCTTGCCAGTTCTCTCTTCCCCCTCCAGGAGCCATGTCCAGCCCCCTGAAACTTTACTCTTGGGGTTGCGGGACCTATGTGGAGAGATAGTACTGTAGGTTGGGAAACTGCAATGGGGATAGGGCAGGGGGCAAAATTACTTCCACTCACGCAAGAGGCAAAAGGGACTGATTTAATCTCCCCTCTGCTGCCCTCTGTCGCATTGTGTGGTTATTGTGCCACAAGGGTCTTGTTACCCCAGGAATAAACTTTCCCAAGGTCAGAAATGGCTCTGGTGGGAGGGGAGAGCTGGAAGATTTGTGTCTGTCAGCTCTTTTTGCTGATGGATCATGTGATCCAACCCATTCTGTGTACCTAATCTTTCCTCATCTTTACAAATCATCTGTAGATACTTAAATCCAGAGACTGGAGCCATGAGCAGACAAGACAAATCTTTCTGCAAACCTTAAAAAAAACAAAAAAACAAAAAAGGTCTGCAGAAAAATCTAAAATCAAATGGTGGGGGTTAAACAATGCCTGTAGCTTTAAGAGACAAATGTCCTCAATGACCATTGCTTGGCAACTACAGCAATACTGCCAGCCTTCAAGCCTTGGTTTCTGTCAGGAAAAGTCAGGGTAAAAGGGCAGGGCCCCTTTCAGGGTGCTTTTGAAGGAGGACTCATTGGGGCCAGGCCTGCCAGGAACCACATCGGGCATCTTCAGTGACTCAGACAGAAATGGCTGCTTATTATTGTTCAGAAGCAGCCACCCCATGAAAACCAGTGTGGTGTAATAATTAGAGATTCAGACAAAGATCTGGGAGATCCAGGTGCTAATTCCCACTCTGCTATAAAAGCTCATTTGGTAATTTTGAGCCAGTTGTATGCTTTTATCCTAACCTACCTCACAGAGTTGTTGTAAAGATAAAATGGGTTAGAGGAGAATGGTGTAAGCTACTGTGGGTCCCTGTTGTGGAGAAATAATAAATACAGCTGAAGATGGGGGGGGGGAGATTATATGAAGGTTAGTTGATGGGTGGGAAGGAAAGAAAGAAGCAGGGAAAGGCGAGAGGATGTGAGGGCTGCCAGGAGGAGGAAAATAGGAAATAATGAGGGAAGGGAATACAGGGTAAAATGAGATCCCACCCGCAGGTTCTTGTGGGTCCCTCACTTGCATATTTCTAATTTCTGTAGCTGGCATCCAAAGAGCTTCTTCAAGTGCATGCCAAGTAGGATTTTTAAATTTTTGACAGCCAGTACCCAAGCCTTGTCACAAACTGAGTTTGGGAAGTCCTCTTAGTTTCAGATCTGGTTTGCCATTTGGCATAAACAGATTGCTGTTTAACAAATATGAGCCCAAACCATCTTGGGCAGTGTTCCCTCTAAGCTGAGTTAGTGTGAGCTAGCTCACAGTTTTTTAGCCTCTGGCTCACACATTTTTGTCTCAGCTCAGGAAGTATGGCTCCAGAACACACTAATTTATGCAGTAGCCAAATCACCTGCTCACAACTTTAATGCCGGTAGCTCACAAAGTAGAATTTTTGCTCACAGGACTCTACAGCTTAGAGGGAACATGGGGTGCACGGAGCTCAATGCGTGGTTCTGTAGACTTTAGCTTTTGCGTATTTTCACTTTCGTTGAATTTTTAAAGCCAGCTGTATGGATGCTGTAAGGATATCTTTTGAATAATATGGAACATGTTTTGAGATTACCTGTCTTTTTGTAGAATGGGGGAGAAGACTTCAGCTATGTTATTGCTTTTTTCCTTGGCACAGCAGCTTGTTTGTACCAGGTAAGATATGCCTCTTGCATGTTTAAACGGTCTTCAGAAGTCATAACCCATTCATTAAAAAGGTAAAGGTAAAAGTTTCCGTTGCTCGAAAGCCAGTCAAATCCAACTCTAGGGGGCGGTGCTCATCTCCATTTCCAAGCCAAAGAGCCAGCGTTGTCCGAAGACATTTCCGTGGTCATGTGGCTGGCGTGACTAAATGCCGAGGCGCACGGAACGCTGTTACCTTCCCACCAAAATGGCCCCTATTTATCTACTTGCAATTTCTTGCTTTCGAACTGCTAGGTTGGCAGGAGCTGGAACCAGAGACGGGAGCTCACTCCGTCACGCGGCACACTCGGGTCTCGAACCGCTGACTTATAGACCTTCAACAGTCTGCGGCTCAGTGTCTTAACCTCTGAGCCACCGTGGCCCCATTCATTACTAAGCTTTAATTCTATCCAGTCTCATATCTGAGTGTAGTGACTATTTCCAGTTTTCTTCTGAGTTTGGTTGTGCTTGATCTCTTTCTGTGGAAGATTATGGAAATAGTTTCTGGTAGATTGCTATAAGAGCTGCGGTGGCTCAAGTGGTTAAGACGCTGAACTGCGGGCTGTGGAAGGTCAGTAGTTCAGCAGTTCGAGACCCGAGTGCTGCATGATGTAGTGAGCTCCCGTCTCTGGCCCCAGCTCCTGCCAACCTAGCAGTTCGAAAGCAAGAATTTGCAAGTAGATAAATAGGGACCACTTTGGTGGGAAGGGAACAGCGTTCCGTGCGCCTCGGCGTTTAGTCATGCTGGTCACATGACCATGGAAACGTCTTTGGACAGCGCTGGCTCTTCAGCTTCAAAACGGAGATGAGCACCGCAATCCTAGAGTTGGATTCGACTGGCTTTTGAGCAAGGGAAACCTTTACCTTTACCTAGATTGCTATAAAGATTTCCTGAAAGTTCAGAGTGGAATCCAAAGGGTGTTTTTCTGTTAGTGGAAGGTGTGCGTATACATGGGGGGTTGATTTTCACCAACTTCCCTCTCCCACTGCATACCCCACACTGCCTTCCATGCTGTTCCCGGGGGTTCTCTGTCCTTCCAGAGCCACATTTTGGGGAGCTGGAGTGGGAGTTAGGAAAGGCCCATTCCTTACGTTGGCAGTGGATCTAATTCTGGGACCTTTGGATCTAATTCTGGGAGTTTAACCATCCACATCTTCTCACAATAGGGATTCATTTGTCTGAATCATCGGACTGAGAGCCCTGAAAGTAGTTGGATCTGATGTGGGCCATTTAAGTTAGTTAATATGGGAGGCCATACGACGTGGTCAAATTAGTATTTATTGTGGTAGTTACGAGGCATGTTAGCATAGATTATTGTTTTCATTTTTGACCTGTGATTTCCTAGCATGTTGAAGAATCAAGGTGACTTAAATTTGTTACGTTTGCATCGTATTCTTCTAAGTAACCTTAGGTGTGCAACGAGATATCTCATATTTATCCAAATTGCCATGATGTCAGATAGAAACTCTTCCAAGGCCACCAGCTATGATACTGTGAAGCTGTCAGTGAAGCAGCTAAAATGCCCATTTCTCTTCAGTGGTTATGAACTGTGTCGCTCTGCCAAAACAGTTTGCTCTGTTAACGATGTGTCCGTGGTGCTCTGTCATCATTACCTACCGCAGGTCTCTTAAGAGTCTGAATATTGGAGTTCTGCTATGCTGCGCTGTAGCGACATCAGGGAGCTGCGGTGGCTCAAGTGGTTAAGACGCTGAACTGCAGGCTGTGGAAGGTCGGTAGTTCAGCAGTTCGAGACCTGAGTGTGCTGCATGACGGAGTGAGCTCCCGTCTCTAGTTCCAGCTCCTGCCAACCTAGCAGTTCGAAAGCAAGAAATTGCAAGTAGATAAATAGGTACCGCTTCGGTGGGAAGGTAACAGCGTTCTGTGCGCCTCGGTGTTTAGTCATGCCGGCCACATGACCACGGAAATGTCTTTGGACAGCACTGGCTCTTCGGCTTGGAAACGGAGATGAGCACCGCAACCCTAGAGTTGGACTCGACTGGCTTTCGAGCAAGGGAACCTTTACCTTAAAATAGGTACCACTTCGGTGGGAAGGTAACAGCGTTCTGTGCGCCTCGGTGTTTAGTCATGCCGGCCACATGACCACGGAAATGTCTTCGGACAGCGCTGGCTCTTCGGCTTTGAAACTGAGATGAGCACCGGAACCCTAGAGTCGGATTCGACTGGCTTTCGAGCAAGGGAACCTTTACCTTTACTAGCAACATCTACAACTACAGGGCAGACTTGACTGTTGTCACTAGTTGAAGACTATTTAAATCTATATTGGGGTGTGACTATTATCTCCAAATGGTCAGCTAATGCAAAAGAACAACTTGGCTGCATACAAAGCAGAGCTTCTAATCTGAAGCCATACACGCTACGTTTTGTGCTTTCACTTTTCTGAGAGAAGGATGTTGTGGGCAGGCACTTCAGCTGTCACACTCGGCTTTTTGTATCTTATCAGAGGAGAGGTTTCTTGGATGAGGTAAAATTAATCCAAGGTGCTGATGTGGTGCATGAAACAACTTCCTATCTATCACCAAAGGATCATCTTTGGGTACTGAACTGCAAGAGGGCATTCTGCATTTTCAGAATCGCCAGTTGGTGGTCTGCCTCAAGATTATTTCCAGCCTTAAAAAAAGGTCAAGGTTCCCTTGCTCGAAAGCCAGTCGAATCCGACTCTAGGGTTGCGGTGCTCATCTCCATTTCAAAGCCAAAGGGCCAGCGCTGTCCGAAGACGTTTCCGTGGTCATGTGGCCGGCATGACTAAACACCAAGGCGCACGGAACGATTTATTTCCAGCCTTACAATTCTACAAAAATCACACACAGTTAAATTCAAGGTTATGTGCTCTGATCCACCCCAAGAAAGCTCCCCCCCCCCATGTCTCCTCCGTGCTGCCTACAATATCCAGGTTAGAGTTTTATCGCACTCTGGTTGCAGCACACTAACCCACATGCTTCCATAGACAGAAATGAGCGGCAGCTTTGTCTTTGAAATGTTGTCCCAAAGCCGTTTCAGAAGTCTTAGGAATGTTTGCTAGCATACCAACAGATGCTGGCCTCGTGGGAATGATGCATGTAGGGAAGGTAGGGTGCCCCTTGCAGTGCAATATGGTTAGTTACTTGTATTCCTAATGACTGTTTTCTTTTGCAGTGCTATCTGTTCGTCTATTGCACCGGCTGGCGAAACATCAAATCCTTCCTCACCTTCGGCTTGATCTGCCTATGCAATATGTACCTCTATGAACTGCGCAATCTTTGGCAGATCTTTTTCCATGTGACTGTGGGTGCTTTTTCAACGTTGCAGATCCGACTGAGACAACCACAAGGCAAGTCCCCTGATTACAATGTGTGATGGTTTCCCTATGAACGTGGCAGCCTTGATCCAAGCAGCAATTCCTCTCAGGAATGAAAAGTTTTTCTGTAAGGAAAAAGCTCCCCATACTTGAAGGCATAAATGACTGGACAGTGAAATTCTTCCTCAAAAGAAGAACTAAACAAAGGATTTGGGAACTAATTGAGGGACAAACGAGGTCCTCCACTATGCAGGAGACTGTACCCCCAAGGGGGGACGGACGGACAAGTACTTTGGAGGGCAGCATGAAAAACCTCACATTCAGAACTATGGAAAAGCAAGGATGTGTGTATTGGACTTGTTCTGCATATCAAGTGATTTCTCCAATCCCAAACCAGTTTTGCCTTTGTGAGGCAGTAGAATAGGCTGTAATAAAAGGATGGCATTGCATATTAACAAACTGTTCAGTATGAATGACTTCCTAAATGCCAGGTTATTGGATTGCACATCAATTTAATGGTGTGTGTGTCTGCGTTTCCCTTAATTAAAACCTCACCCTGAAACCATCTGTTCATGGGGATTAGCGGCTTGGCCCCAAAGGCCGGCCCTCTAGTGCTGAGTTAATTACAAATTGCTTTACTTATTCTCTCCCCCC